TGTTCGCCTTCTCCGCGCGCTCCAGGAGCCCTGCGAGCCGAGGACGTCACGCACCAAGGATCGACGGCTGTGCTGCACAAGTGCTGCACACTAGTCCATGAAACGTGCACCCGGCGTGGGCTCGCTCCATGTTGGGTTGGGTTTGACACGAGGCAACGAAGACGACGACGATCGCGACCCACGACCCATGACGCCGACCAGGATCACCACCCTCGTCGCACCGCCACTGCCACCGCCACCACCACCACCTACCTCTTACCTCTTGCCACTTACCACCTACCACTTAACACTTGCCACCTACCACCTACCACCTACAAGTACCTTTTACCTCGTACCACTTACTATCACCACCACTACGACTACGACGACTACCACTACGACTATTGCTAATCCTCCCGCTACTGCGACGACGAAGACGACGACTACCACTACGACTACTGCTACTGTACAGGCTAAAATCCTGGAACCGAACCCGTGTTATGCAGACACATACTTACTTAACGGACTGCATCTCTCGAGAATCTGTTTTGCCCTCGTCCTCCCATCATCACAAATCACCTCGCTTAAGGCAGGTGCAGAATTTTCCTTATCCAAGATCTTCAGTATCATATACAGCAACAACGAGGCCTTCGGGCAGGCGGGTCTTGCAGAGCTCGGTCATGCGCTTGAGGCCCCCGAAACCGTTCAGGCACATGATGCCAGGGACAATAGGCACCTGGACGTGAGAGATGGATGGAGTGGGTGGGCCTGGCATGGACTGGCAGTCAGGAGAAAAATGCTCTTCTAACAATCGGACCTTGATGTCGTACTTGCGGCACTCATCGACAAAGTCCAAGAAAACTTGGGCATCGAGGAACATCTGCGTGATGACGAAGTGAGAACCTGCATCCACCTTCTCTTTGAGATAGACCATCTCCTGCCAGTGCAGTACCGAGGTGTCCGTGGAATGGTTCAGGGTGGATCAGACAGCCATGCCCCTAAAACGCAAGGATTCCTAGAGTTTCCCGACTTCTCCTTGTGGAAGTTTGCATCTCGGCACACGGTGACCACCTCCTTTCCCTGGGCATCGGTCACGATGCGGGCGCGGCGCTTCTCCGACGCAGTCAAAGCGGCCACACCACCTTCGACCACCTCGACAGGTCGTGCGACAGAACAGTGGATTGCATGCAACCGGGACACTGAAAGAAACTACCAAGTGACGAAGTGATGTGCCTTGCACCTGCTGACCGTACGGAGGGTAGCACTGTCGAGAATGCCACAGACTTCATGAGGCGAGACAGTAGAGCTGCTTTGGATACAGGCCACGGCTGCGCACAGGACATGTCTTGCCCAAAATTATTTCACCACCATCTGAGGCCTTGATTGTATGATGGGATGTTGTGAACGACCACATGGTCCAAACTGTGTGTTCATGCGCACGCTGGCCTCGATGTTGTCAGGATGGCCCTCCGGATAGCCGGCCACAGACACCGAGAAATAATCGCCGTGGTTTTGGCGGATGAACCTCATCTGCAACAGATGGATGTTGCTGGGCCCTCAAAGAATGCGCGTCGGTCGAAGGATTTGTTTTCGTAGACGCAAGATGTAAGCTCCGACGCCGACCACTCAACCTTCGAATCCTCAGAGTACCGAAATTTTGATCGCGGAAACATCACATGCGTCTGGGGCACTTCACGAGGTCCAAAGCGCTTGAGAAACCACCTACAAACAGTTTGCGAGCGAAGAGGGCGAGAACAACGAGGATGCCTAGACGTTATTTGGCGACCTCTTGCCAGGCCTATTACTATAGTCGCCAAAGAATAACCACAATTTGCTAGCCGAAACAAATCGAACATCTCCCACAGAAGCAGACAGTCAAGCAGTCCCCGATTCTAGCCACCTTCTGTGGCCGTCCACTTCTCCTGACCACGAGGTGGGTCGCCGCGGAGAGCAACGATGTTGCGGACACCGTGCTGCTTGCACTCCAGAAGTGCCTTCGAGCTCGTGATTCTAGGGCTAGTCCTTGCTTTATGGCAGACGTCTTTCTTTCGCCATTGCTGGAGGACGGGGTGCGACCTATTCCCGCAGGCTGAAATACGAGCTTCGAAGGCAAACTGGACCGTGAGAGGGAGAACACCAATAACAACACCAGCTCAATCTAAAGCAAAAACAGTCTGAGCAATGTCTGGGACCTTCGAAGCTATAGGATATTGTCCGTGTCTTTCTGTGTGTGCATGCGCGCCCTGTCTGTGTGTGTGTGTGTGCGCGTGCGTGTGCGTGTGTTTGTGCGTGTGTGAAGACATCGGCCTTTACGAGGGTGCCACAGTGCAACACCCACGTATAGCTTCTCCATGCGGAGTAGCATGAAGCACATGAAGTCGGAAAACAAAACAAGCTTCAATTGAAGCCGGGCTTCGTTTCCTGTCATCTCCGAGCTCTGGTTGGTGCAGGTCAGGTGCATGTTGGCTACGGTGCCGAACTCGTTCTTAGCCTCACACATGGAACGCTATGGAGCGCTGTGACCCTTTGATGTTTCAGCTGGCAGCAACACTCAGCAACACCATTCCCATGTCCGTGTCTACGCGTGGGTTTCTGCATGACGGAGGGCAAACCTTGCAGAGCCAGTCAATAGCATCACGTTTCCGACCAAGAGGCTGCGGAAGTCAGCTTCAGAGTCAGCTCTGACGTGGAGCCACCCGCACCCCAGGTGAAGTCGGTGAAAAGGGGACCCAACGACTTCATCTTCACCTCGACATGGAGTCACGTGCACAGCTCAGCTGTTGCTCACACCGTGGCATAGTCCCAGGCACAGGAAACAGACGATAAACGAGCGCACATTGCCAAGTAGCGATGCGCTTGCGCAGATTCTCGACACCCTCCGGCGTCTTCGGAGGGAAGTACTCGAACGAAAACCAACCTGGTGGCACCTCCATCTTGGAACTCCGTTTCGGTTGTAGGGGAATGTCATGTTGCCAGCTTCTACAGGTGTGGTCCGCCTGAGGACTCATCATACATCACCTCATAGCTGCAAGCTCCTGCCTTCTCCACCAGATCGGAAATCTTGTGGTCGTCGGGATACATCTGCGCCATGGCTCTCAACTACAAGAAGGACGGTGATGGAACCTGCGATATGGAAATCAACCCTGGCGCTTTGGAGGGTTGCGTTGTGCTGTCTACCATGGAGCCGGCGAGATTGCATGCGGCGAGTGGACTCAACAACAACGGTATGGGGCGAGAAGTGACTGTTATCAACCACTGACTATGACTATCCAGTGACCAGTCAGTGATGAGAGATTCAGGAGTCAAGGGCAAGAGGACAAGAGCCTTTATACATCCTAAAACATTGCGCGACAACATCGCTCCAGCAGAAGCCGGTATGGCGTTGCTTTGGAAACAGAGTGTCGTACGTACTTTCTGGGCCAGAGTCCGACTTCTCGACGCACGTGCCAAAACTACGACCAACAGACCTCATGCCGAACCAGTGCACGTACTGCTTACATGCCCAAGCACTTGGAGACAGCACCTGAACCCTTCCACCCAAACCACTCTCATGAAGTCAAGGCACGTGCCAGAATCGAGTTCAAACAGCATCTAGCTTTGTTGGAGCTTTGGCACATCAAGGCCCATCGACATTGATGATATGTTGCTTCGAAAGGGGCAAACTGAGACTAAGCCGGGCAACAGTTACGATTCACGAGCTTCGGCTCGGCAACGCATCTCGAAAGACTCCCTTCCTCAGGCGGATCGAAGTTGATGACCAAAGTGATGTCCTGCATGGTGCCAACACCCCCAATGCTTGTCGATCCTGAAAGATTGAAAAAGACTGCACCAGCAAGAAGATGCCATCCTTGATGTCCAGACCTCGCCCAGCAATGCTGGTCGCCACCTGGCGAAGCACTCGACAAATCGAATGATCTTGCATCTGCTTCTGTCCGCATACCATGCCCTTCAGGCCTGCGTCCGGCCGGATGGCCGGAGATCTACCGATGGTCCCGTTTCAACACCAGCGTTTGCAAAGGCAAACATGGGCAGTGGCCATGATCCAGGAGTCACCGTTGCGGAAACGTTGCATAGCCTGAGCATCCAAACCGAACTCACAGCTGTGGTTGTTTTTTCAGGCGCACAAGTCGCATGGTTGTTGTGAGCCACGCGACTTGTTTGAGCTCAAATACTCCCTGACCCCACATGCAAGGGCCCAGAAACCTCACTCAACCAACTTCCGAGAAGATCACACCGTGACGCCCGGAATCTTCTCACCACTTCTTGCCCCGTGGTCTGCTTGCGTGACAGCCGGCAAAAATTGGTTCCCTCTGTGCTCCTGGCAATTTCGCGCTCGGCTTGTTTCTTGTAGCCATGTAGGGTCTCCACCTTTGCGAGCTTTGGGAGAAGATTCAACTTGACAGCTTCAGACTGCGCTCTTTTTGGAAGCCGATTCCGAAACCTCTAGTGAGACTCTCAAGCAACTTCAAGTTGTAACCAAGTTCAGCGCGGGAACGCCGTTGAGTGCCGCCTGCTGCACCAAGTCAGAAGCATCGGGTCCCACGTGCTTCAGCGGCACATCGCCTGCGCGAAACCCATAGGTGTACGTTGCCTTGACTTTCTTCGCCAAGGAATCGCACTCGTCGTGGTCAAACGCGAAAATCAGCACCTCGCAAAGTGTGCAAAGGCTCTGTCGTGCGGTTTCCGAGCCGCACACACACACACACACGGTGATGAGAGACTGGGCGACACTGGATCTGCGCATCTAAATTCGACCAACCCACAGCAACACTTCCTCATCTTGCAAATTGCTAGGTGGTTTCCACGCTTGCATGTCTGTCTGAGCTCACCTTTCCAGGAGATTTGTTGTGAGCACTGTACCTTGGAACATTCAGCAGGCCCCATGCAATCCAATCAGCTGGCCGTCCGGACATATCACAGCAGACAGCAACTTCCTCCTATACTGCTGTAGCTATCAAGGGTGTCGGGTTGCGGAGGTCCTGGCACGATTGAGTGCCCAAATCTGGCGACAGCTTTGCAAATCAACTCAACCATAGCACGAAAAGACTCTCAGCAACTGCCCGAACCAAAACAGTCTTGGCATCATGCTGAGCCAATGAGAGAATGCCAAGCTGCACTTTCCGCAAGGTGCTTTTCAAAGCTCCTTCCTTGTCGAACTCGTCCTTCACCTCATCGTAAACATGTTCCGGAAGCTGTGAACTCTGCAACAACGTACGGACACCGAACACTCCAAACAGAAGCCCTACTGCTGAGATCCTGGCAATGATGACCTCTTGCTTGACGTCCCTGTTAGCCCTCAGCGGATCCTGAGATCTCAGGCCGTTAGAAAGGGCTGGGACTACCAGCGGCAAGGAATCAGATCTTTCCCGGGTCAGTCCTTCATCCCGACTCGAACCTCCACGGCATGTCGACCTCTGTCAAGAGCGCGGCAGACCGGAACCATCCGCAGACTCTGAAGGCAGAGATGGCAGAGCAGCAGACGGCAGCCTGGGGCCCTGACTGATCCAAGTTGCCAGGTCGCTGACCTTGATCCAGGTGGCCGAGGGGCAGACATTGGCAGGATCTGTCTGTCTCTGCCTTCTGGTAAGGTAATAACTCTGAACCACATCTGGTTTTCGTCGTGTTCGTTCGTTCATCTCCACCTACCATCTCCAACAAACGTAACAACCCCGCTGATGCAGAATACTGTCCGGGACCTGGGTGAGGGATTTTCAATCAAAACATGCCTACAAGTTGGGTCGTGCAAACTGTGCGCAAGGCAGGTGCAAGCGATGTTTGCTCACCTTGTATGCATGTCACTACACGATCGCAGCAGTGACGCCCGCAACCGTTCTGTGTATGCTGTGGGGGTAGCGCTTTCACCACATGAACTTTACTTGCTGACATCCGGCAGCTGCCGCTGCGAGACGGCAGCAAAAAAAGCACTGACGAGCACATGAACATAAAGCAACCTCCTGGGAGGGAAACGTCATCTGCAAAGGTGGCCGAGAACAACATTGTCTGCCGCCGCCTTGCAGGGAGCCCCCACTCAATCAAAATGGAAATCCATGCTATCGAGGGCGAACATCGCTTTAAAGGGGTCAAGGAGTCGAAACCAACTTCGCTGTCGGCCAACATCTTGAGCAACAGATCTGAGCACCCAGCGGTGTCTCCACGTCGCAGGTGATTTTACGGATGTTGGCATCAAGTCCTGACTCCGGCAGCGTGCTTTGCATTTGATACTTGGAGGTTCGCGGGCAGTTATAAGTAGAGTTATAAGTAGGGTAACTATGCTTATAACCACATAAGGGGACGTAGAACTCTACTTATAACTTATAACTACCCATGAACCTCCAAGTATCTGTTGCGTTGCGAAGACTCGCAACAGCCTGGACCAGTTGTACAGCGATGCGCCCAGATCACGGCGCAACTACACGATCATGACTTTACACGCAGGGATACTGCATATGCTGGTATCTGTTTCTGTACTGCGTACCATGCATATCTCCTGCAGGTATCAGGTACAAATGAATCAATGTATGTTCGTGCGCTCGTATGTGGCTGCATTCTTAGAGAGACAGAAAAAGTCTACAGAGTCCACGCGCTTCTCTCTGTCGGTGTCATTATGTTGCGCGCCATTCACGGTCACGTACCCAGACAGCACAACATCCCTCAATTAAGGAAGATAGCTTAAATCATATAACATGAAGCCCCTAATGATTTAACGTATATTCCCTAATTAAGGGTATTGGGATCTTTGGGTAGACCTGTCCAGGTGCCTTCTCCGATCATGGCATCAGCCTGCGCTTGAATCGGGGCCAGATCCAAGGGCATACCAGGAGATGATATGGGAGTTTCCGAACATAGGGGACCCCAATATAATACCCTTAGTAGTAGGATCCTTATTATGGAAACTCCCGCATGAAGTTTATTGAGGTTGAAGCTGGTGCAAGCACATTCACTCTGTCTCTTTCTTCGTGGGCGCTTTTTCCAAGACTGCTCTTTACTGAAGGGGCCTCTACTGTAGCTCTGCTTAGTATCGCATCCCCGATGAGGCCCTGCCAGCATACCCTAAGGATTTGAATGACATTCAGTCTTTGGCTTTATTGGGATTGGGGCTGAAAAGTAGGATTTACAGGCCAGGGCTGAAGTAAAGGATTCTGACTTGAAGAATGCCAGTCCGGCCAAAGGGATGTTGGAGCACGGCCAGGAAAGTCTTGAACTCTTACCGAGTTCCTTGCAGCGGCAACTTGTTCTCAGTTTGCCTTGCCTCGAGTCTCGAGGAGTCATGGAAAGTAATTGGAAGTGAGAGGAGTCCTCAGAGCCGAGGACCTAGTCCGTGATGCTCTCTCTTGCATTTCTGGAAGCTGAAAGAAGGCGTGAAGCCAAGGTCAGGCGCAACAACGGTGGTGCTGCGGACAGTCCGCACAGATGTCAGCCGCGACATTGGAGCTCTGCTCTCTCTTCTCCTCTCTGTTGACCCCTCGTCGCCACATCATCGCATGCTGCCACGCTTCAGAGGACAAGAGTGTTCGATATGCCGTCGAGTGCATCCGAACATCATGCTCAACATGCTGCACCGTTCAGCTGCCCGGCCTCGTCCAGGATCAAGAAACGCACATTTCTGACTCCGAACCTCGGCCATAATTAGACGGCTCAGACATCGGGTCGCAGCAGACAGAACTGGATGGAACCCTGGTGGGCATCGCCGAAAGAAAAAGCCTTCACTTTCCCGACCAGAGCTTTAGGGCGCTGCCAGTGCTTCTCGTTCTCGATGAAATCAATCAGCCGACCAACCGTGCCGACCTCTCCATCAAGTCATGGAGGATGCTTTGATTGTGGACACAGGGATGCAGCGGCGTGCAAGCAAAGGGGGTTTCTACTCTGAGCATTGCGTCCTTTAGACGGCAGTCCCAGACCTCTTCGAACCAATGCTGAGATCGCGGCCACACATTCCGGTCGCTCGCGCAACCGTCCGAGCCTATGTTGCACTGCGAGGAAACATGAGAGCTACACCCGCCAGCACAGTGGATAACATCTGAGCACTTGTCGTTTCTCGACGAGTCCCTTCGCCGCCATAGCCTCATCTGACAACGCATTGACAGCAAGGAAATGGTTGACTTCAGTTGGAGGTCCAAAGATCCCCAAGATGTTGAATCCTTCTGACAACGTCTGAGATGCGTCTGTCGAATAAGTTCCCTAGGCGTAAACGCATTCTGGCTCCAATGTATTCGCCGCCGACCTTCGAGCTCTGCAGGGAATTCGAGTGCTGCGATCAGCCTCTAAAGTGTCCGGGCTGCGCACAAGCGAGGGTGACAATGCCGGTGCTCGCGGTAAAGCGTCGTGCCTGCTTGCACGACAACCAGGTGCCGAACACCAGAATGACTTTCTGAAGCTGCTAGAAATAAGTAGTATCTCGACGCGGTTTTCGTACCCATGGCTAAATCAAGCAACAACCGAAAGGAGCTCAGTGACCAGTCAGTACTCGCATCCGAAATATCATGCCTTTTGCCCGGTCTTTCTGCATAAGGCCATCCGGGAGCATGCAGGCATGTGCAGGCTGCAGGCCCATGCCCAGCTCGGAAAGGCGAAATGCCAGCCTCCGTCTCGATCTGGGCCTGAGTGGCAAGTCAGCACTTGCCGACAGAGCCGTCAGTCGTCACATCTATTGCAAGCGAACTCCTGGACGTCGAACACCCATGTCTCGATGAGCTCACACACAGAACTGAGCCGGATAAATCCACATCAGCTGCCAAAGCGGCAACGAGCAGGTATCGTTGCAGCCGGCACCCAGGACGAAGTTCTGACGGCCGTAGCGCCAGCCACAAATTAATCTATCAGCCTAATCCGTGTAGACCATCTCTGCATTGACGACTGTTCATGAGCTGCGCGTTCCCTACAAACATCCTGCAGTGTAGTACAGGAATTTATCGCTCATCCTAGCTGCAAAAGGACTAAATGATGTGCACACTCTTGAATTTGCCTTGGCGGACGAGTGCACTGCGACCCTTCGAAAGTCTACCTTCCTCCTAATGCATGTATCCTCCTAATGCATGTATGTTTCATTTTGCTGCTCTTGCGCGGTTTTAGGAACGTCCACGCTGGGTCGCTGGGTGGCTGGCCGCTAGCTCCCGTGAGGGTGCCAAGATCAACACCTGTCGCTTGTGATTCAGTTTTGAGCACGTGGGGTCGTGCGAAAGGGTAAGCAGGGCAGGGCCTCCAAGGAGGCACACGTACCTCCACTAAGAAGGGGCTCATGACGGCTCGTGACTTCGTTTACGGAGCCTAAGCAAGTGCTCCCATCCTTCAAGAGGTACCGAGCCAAACCGTTGCCAGGCGGGGGATGAATTCCGGAGGCAAGAGCATTCGAAGTGATGAACCGGTCTCAAAGCTGCCAGCAGGATCTCAGCCAGCCTCTGGAGAGTATGCCCCCGGACCAGCAGCTTGTTTCTGCATCTGCACCTCATGCAGTACGAGGTGCTGCAGGATAGTATGGGAAGCCTGCACTTCCCTTAGGCATGCATGCAGCAGTGTGAAACGCCTTGCAGTTCACCTTTTCAAACTCAGTTCAAGCCATGGTTGTCCATGCAAGGAATTGTGGGGCTTGGGCCGGGAGCGACGAGTCGTCATTTGGACCAGTGCCAGTCCCCATCCTGCACATTGCATGCGAGGTACACTGCTCGAAGAGCCCTCAGACAGCTCTCGAGGCAATGGGCAGCTGCCCGCAGCTGTCCTGGAGCGCAGACCCTCCTTCAAAAGTCGCGCGAAGCCTTGGATGAAGACTGAAGCCGCAGCGATCTGGAAGAAAGCCAATCTCAGAGACCCGCAAGGAAGCAGGAATGCCAGCGTCTTGCCAGAACCAGTCCTAGACAGAGCTTGCTAGTTGTGCCCCTAACTCCTTCCCAGCAATGTGACATATCCAGTCGAGGCCTGTCTGAACCCGACAAGTGACATACAAGCCGTGAAATCGTTCCCCGCCCCAAGCATGGAGAGTGGTCCTTGCAACGCCGATGAGGTCTCGCCCAGAGCAAAGGATGGGCCAGGCTTGGGCCTTCGCAGGCTCGCAAGCAGGCTCGCACGCAGGCTCGCACGCAGCGTGGCCCCTGCAATGAAGGCTCTCTGGACTCTGGACTCTGGCCATGCTCGAAACAACCAGATAAGGCTTCCGGTTGCTTCAGGGTTCAGATGTCCCCCGCGACATCGATGTTCGAACACACGTTGCCTGGATGGGCGTGGGCTCCGTGAAGCCTCAGCGATGTAAGTAAGTGCTTCCTTTGCTGGGTTATAGGTCGTGTCAATGCAGTAGTCAGCCTGCGCCACGCATCGCATCCACCAGCGTCTTCGTGAGACCGTCCTCGGCAGCCTGATAGGAGCCGGCAACTCATCTTGTGTGTTTATCCGGGGTTGACGGCTTTGGGGCCAGCTTGCATGGTATCTGGGAAGGCATGCACTGTGGCAGAGGTCGCCTGTCTATCCTATGTCTATCCTCAAGCTTGCGGCTCAAGACATTCCAGCAAGTACAGGCCTGTGCTGAGGAGTTGTGGTTGTCTCTGCTAGCTCATGTGCTTGAGAAAGCTATAGTGGTCTGTTCAAACCAGATTCGCAGTCCAACACGTACTCATTATGGAGCACAAGGGATCGCCATCTAACCGAGTCGCTCAGGGCCGTGATCCCCGGCCTCCAGGCGTGTCCAGGGCGCCCACGGGTCCTCGCCATCCTCCCCTTCGCCATATTCATGCGGTCTTGGAAACCAGTGCTGAGGGACACACGGAATCTGGAAGTCTTACTGTATACAGGCTGAGAGTAAAGGACCTGGGTGATATTACGGGGAGTACAGCTTAGGGTGACCTCAGACCTCCAGCCGGTCAGTCAGAACCATCGCTGACATGATGGTGCGGAGTGGATTTCGGATATCCCCACGAAACTTCGAGCCTGTTCTCGATGCCTGGAGCTCGTCGAAGACCTGGCTGTAACAACACGTAGTATTCAGATATAATATCAAAAGTCTCGTGTTCCTTCCGTGCGCTTGCCTCGTGACAGGGTTTTTGTGCAATGTATGTATATAGCTGGTTTCGTGAAGCTTTGGATGCTGTCCCGGCCGCGCGCTGCGACGGCGAAAATGAAGATGATGCCAACTGGCCAGCCAAGTCAACCTGGCTACTGAGCGACAAGCTCTTGAGGCCTGAAGCTCAGGAAGACGAACGTATCTGTACAAATCTAACGGATAGCTCAAACAATTCATGGCATCCTGTGACGCATCACGTCACCAAGCCCATTCAGCTGGATGCCGTCTGCTTCAAAGTCCGAATTGCTCAATGGCGGACTTGCCCGTGTACAGGCCGGCTGCGATCTGCCCGAGGGCAGCAAACATGGCGATCCTGCCGGTGCGAGGCACCAGATGAAGCTAGAGGAGTCGAGTCAGGGGCAACAGCAAAACAACATGCTAACAACTCCGCACGGCACTATCCGGAACAGCGATCCTGCCGTTGTTGATCTCCCGATTTCTCATCTCGTCGGAGTAGTCATCCCCAACCAGAGGCAGCGGGTTGCCGAAGTTGCCTCTCTTTGGGTCCAACAAGTAGCAACGAGGGCCAAAGTCTCCGAAGTGAACATCCGAAACGATGCAGGCCAGGCCAATATCAAAGACAGGACTCGACAGGTACCAACCCCGATCCCTGTCAGACATCAGATCCTACTGCAACGCTGCTGTGCCTGGCTCCTTGCTGTCGTCTTGCACGAAGACAGCCGCCTCCAACACCGCAATGATGGCGATGGTGATGAGGAAGCCGGTTTGGCCGGCACCTGTGCTGAAGGCCGAAATGTCCTTCGGCACGCCCTCCATGCCCGGCAGCTGCACCAAGCTCTGCGTTAGCATGCCGAGTGCTCCCATCATGGCCAATCCTCGGGCGGGTTCGTTGCTTGCTGAGAAATCAACTGACAAGCGCCTTTACATAAATCAAAATAGAATGCAGTATCAAGGAAGAACTTCCAAAAAAGATTCCCCATGCAGGACCCAGATTCTGCCATGCTTGAGCTCCTTGGCTCGCAAGTCCTTGAAGGAAGCCTCGTCCTTGCAGAAGCCGGCCGGATCAAAGAACCCCAAAGGCTCGGTGACGCCAATTTGTGCCTCAGGGCTGAACCTGCAAGCCACAGTCTTGCGGGCAGCCGGCTTCTTTGCACCCACGAAGCTCAGCACCGCTGCGCCCGTCGTTGCCGAGATGGCCAACGCCGAGGTGCTGAAGCCAGACTCAGCCTTCACAGCCGTGGAGCCTCGAAGGCCAGAGACGGCCTGGGAGGACTGGGACCCTCCCGGCGCCACAAAGGCTTCTGCGCAAGGCGCAGCAAGGAGGCCGGCGGCGATCATGCTCTTCACGGAAGCCATTGCTAAAGTCTGAGGGGTCTGAGGCACGAAGGTGCGAGATGACTGGCAAGCCGAAATGGGTCTGACAGGCGAAGGGCCTTTGTATCTCAATGCTGCAGACATGCACGGACTCCGCGAAAACCCTCCTGCTACATCCTGCTACCTTAACGCAAGAGAGGTGTCATGAAGCGACTCTACCTATGCTGCATCATTCCTCGTTACAGGGTTTTTGCGCAATGTATATAGCTGGTTTCGTGAAGCTTTGGATGCTGTCCCGGCCGCGCGCTGCGACGGCGAAAATGAAGATGATGCCAACTGGCCAGCCAAGTCAACCTGGCTACTGAGCGACAAGCTCTTGAGGCCTGAAGCTCAGGAAGACGAACGTATCTGTACAAATCTAACGGATAGCTCAAACAATTCATGGCATCCTGTGACGCATCACGTCACCAAGCCCATTCAGCTGGATGCCGTCTGCTTCAAAGTCCGAATTGCTCAATGGCGGACTTGCCCGTGTACAGGCCGGCTGCGATCTGCCCGAGGGCAGCAAACATGGCGATCCTGCCGGTGCGAGGCACCAGATGAAGCGAGACGAGTCGAGTCAGGGGCAACAGCAAAACAACATGCTAACAACTCCGCACGGCACTATCCGGAACAGCGATCCTGCCGTTGTTGATCTCCCGATTTCTCATCTCGTCGGAGTAGTCATCCCCAACCAGAGGCAGCGGGTTGCCGAAGTTGCCTCTCTTTGGGTCCAACAAGACTCGACAGGTACCAACCCCGATCCCTGTCAGACATCAGATCCTACTGCAACGCTGCTGTGCCTGGCTCCTTGCTGTCGTCTTGCACGAAGACAGCCGCCTCCAACACCGCAATGATGGCGATGGTGATGAGGAAGCCGGTTTGGCCGGCACCTGTGCTGAAGGCCGAAATGTCCTTCGGCACGCCCTCCATGCCCGGCAGCTGCACCAAGCTCTGCGTTAGCATGCCGAGTGCTCCCATCATGGCCAATCCTCGGGCGGGTTCGTTGCTTGCTGAGAAATCAACTGACAAGCGCCTTTACATAAATCAAAATAGAATGCAGTATCAAGGAAGAACTTCCAAAAAAGATTCCCCATGCAGGACCCAGATTCTGCCATGCTTGAGCTCCTTGGCTCGCAAGTCCTTGAAGGAAGCCTCGTCCTTGCAGAAGCCGGCCGGATCAAAGAACCCCAAAGGCTCGGTGACGCCAATTTGTGCCTCAGGGCTGAACCTGCAAGCCACAGTCTTGCGGGCAGCCGGCTTCTTTGCACCCACGAAGCTCAGCACCGCTGCGCCCGTCGTTGCCGAGATGGCCAACGCCGAGGTGCTGAAGCCAGACTCAGCCTTCACAGCCGTGGAGCCTCGAAGGCCAGAGACGGCCTGGGAGGACTGGGACCCTCCCGGCGCCACAAAGGCTTCTGCGCAAGGCGCAGCAAGGAGGCCGGCGGCGATCATGCTCTTCACGGAAGCCATTGCTAGAGTCTGAGGGGTCTGAGGCACGACGGTGCGATATGGGCCACTGATGGCGATTGCTACTGAAGTCGAAACAAACTGACAAACGTATGTTGCGCCATGCGATAAATCAGCAAGTTTGGGACCCTCCTGGGTAGAAGGTATCTGCAAAAGAAGAGCATCGCCGTAAATGCCGGCGTGCCCACCTCGATGCTTTCCGGTGGCTCCTCGCAGCCGAGACTCTTGTCCTGTGACCAGATGATGCCCAGGCATGTAGAGGCATGCACATGATCTGAATCAAGCCCTGCAGAACACTGCCATCTCAGATACGTTGCTGCTCCGTTTGCGAATGAATCTTTTAAAGAAGAGTTGCGCCATAGTCAACAACCGAAACCACTGCCTGGGCTGCGTCCTTGTTGCTACTCTCTTTCCTGGCAGCGGCGACGGCGCAGCACTCGCTTGGCCGGCTCCGCTTGCGTTTAGAGTTTAGACTCTTGGTGCCCCCGTCCCTGCCCAGCCAATGGAGGAACGGTCGGTCAAAGCGTGGCAGGGCTGCAACTTCTGCTTCTTGAGACCTCGCAACGCTCAAGTACTGCAAGTGCGTGCTGGTCAGGCACAAGAACAATCCAGACTCTGTGCCAACATGCAGGTGCGTGGCAGCGCGTGGTACAGATGTTGCCAAGTTTCGACTGAAAATTCTAGGCGTGCAGTTCCTTCATGAATCTGGGGCTCTGGCGAGCCTCCTCCTCCTCCACCTTGTGCTGAAGCACCTCAGTGCACGAGCCTGCCGCTAAAGCCCAAGCAGGCCACAAAGTCCGGGGAGCAGACGGAAAAGGTCTGTTGCAGCGAAGCTTGAACGGCGGCCGCTTCTTGTGCTTCTGCTTCTGCACCGTAGCCGACACCTTGGTCAAGATACTTCTTCGTTATAGCTTTGCTTCGACTGCCTCTCCGAAACTTACGGATGGATCGCTGTTGAATGCATCGTCACGGCACCAGCTGCACACGCAAGTCGGCATGGTCCTCTTGCATTGAAGCCTGCAGCCTTGACCTTCTGGCATGGTCGCCTCAAGATGTGCAAGGTTTCCATCGGGCCCTGGCTGCACGCCTTCACGCTGCACCAAAACTGCTGTGTCTCATTGCAAACATGGGTCATCCGTGTCAACTCGCAGGCCCAGGCTCATACCATGAGCAGGCCTGTAGACTTCAACACCCGCAAACAACCAAAACCGCCATGAAATGCGACGAAGTAATCCTGCAGCACCGAAGCAATTGACATCACCGTAAGTGTGGAAGATCGAGGTACCAGTGCACTCTCGACAAAGCCCTGCCTCTTAAACTCAGAAACAGAGAAGTCTTAGACCCCAGTGCATCAGCCCTGCAAGCTGTCTGATGCAGCCACGCGGCGTCTGAGCGCCTCGAAGTCCACCGAGAGAGGCGCCGGAGCGTCCTCCTGAGGAGCACTTAAAACATCTGGCGTCAGGCAAACATCGCCCCGTCTCAGGATTGGCTTGGCTGTTGGTGTAATTTTATAAATTCCACGAGCAATTCTAAGATACGCAAAGCCGAGCTCAGCTTAGGGCGACGTGAGGGTGAAACGTGACGAGGCCGACTACTCCTCGTGCTGCTGCTGCCACCGCCGCTGTTGCTGCTGCTATCACAAATCCAAGCAAACAGACAGACAGCACGCGTCGAGCCCTGGCAGCTCCAGATCAGTGCGGGCAACTGCATGCCAAGAGGCCGTGCGCGGTCGCTTCAGCTCCGGCTCCGGTACATCCCCGCCTGAAGCACAGATCAGTATGGTCCCGAACCCGTCGCTCGACTGCAGAGCCAGCAGTTAAAACTCTTATCGTCGGCAATTCTTGGAATTCCGTGCTACGTTCCCGGTGATGATGTTATACTCGACCATGATGTCAAGCATCAAGGAGTCTTTTGCTAGCACCGGCGTCTGCCGCAGACTCTCCAGCTGCACGTATAGACCATCTGTATGATCCTATGATCTTCCAGACGGACCTGCTGCGCTTTCGCCTGCGCCTGTGTTGTTACCCTCTGGAGCCTCGGTAAAAGGCAGGGCAATGACATGTGCTGAAAAACGACGCCCGCTTCATCTGACGTGCTGGATCTGACATTGCTCTGGGCGTCGGTCTTCCTCCTCATCATCGGACAGGAGGGCTAGTGGATCCATGACATGCCATGGGATGTTGCAGTCTGCGCTGCTCTGCTGTAGACACGGTAGACTCTAGGCTTCATGTCCGGTCTGCTCACTGCTGCACATCGCAAGTACGAGAACGTGCCCTTGAGCAGCGCCACTGCTCGAGCATGTGGCGCATGCCTCACTACATGTCAAGGTACCAGACTTTTGTTCTAGATGCTTGTGGAGTGGGCAGCCTGGAATTGGCAGCCTGGTTCATAATGCAGCCTGACAGCATATCCATTCGAGTCTGTGGGCTATCTGCGTTGGGCCGTACAAACTCTAACTATGAATGACGGTGGCATCCCTTGATCTTTGAGCTCTACGAGAAGGGCAGTGACAAGAGCCGCAGCATGTCCACTCTCGCCACTCTCTCCGAAAGCATGATTCACCATCAGCCCCAGGTTTAGTGGAAACATTTGCCACGTATATGCGTGCTGTCGGCACCTCAATTCAGTCAATTCAGAGCCGTTTTCCGTCACGGCTCGGCTTCGCGCACGCTGTACAGCTTCGTGTGTCCAACGAGCGAACTTGTCGGGGTCAACATCCTTAACATCATGAAACAGTATGTCACATGTCATGTGCAGAGACGGAGACGGGGTCTTAGTCTTCAAGTCGGCAAACACAGAAAGCGCTGGCTACTGTATACAGGCACTGGGTGTGCATGTCATTCGACAGCTTCTTCATTGCTTCGCTGTCAGACATTTGCCACGCTTCGGAAAGCACATTACTTCAGCAAAGATGCGAGATTTGTCTGCCTCCAGTAAGCATCTTTCGCAGTGGCTCTGGTTGCTGAGAACTTCTTGCTGTCCTTGGATTTTCGCACATCCCAGAGGGGCTTGACGGCTTGACCTGTCCACCACGCTTTTGCAACATCCAGGAGCGGTGGCACAATCCCTATTGTCTTGTCCACTCCAAATTGCCCGAAGATGAGCGGCGGGGACTTGCAGTGGCCCTCCTTCGCTTCGCAGGCATACGTGGTCAACGTCTGCCAGCCTCGATTGCCACTACACAAGCAGAGCAGCAGAGCATGTGAGGCTTCGAGGCCCCGAATGTCCGGTCTCCAGCCAAGATCAGCCAAGAAACCGGCCAAGGCCCCCGAACATGCCCAGGCTGTCCTCGTTCCAGGCCTCGCTGCACCGGTACCTCAGTAGCATGACAGATCGGCCGGACAGTTTTGGGACCATGCACATGAAGCTTCAAGGTGGACAGTCTTCAGGCCGGAAGCGGGTAAAACGATAGGCCAGCACTACAACTGCGTTGCAAAAGGCATGATCATGACAGGCTCGTGGTGTCGCGCGACCGCTTCATCGGGCTGGCTGCAGTACGGGGCGACAGTGGTGATGACAGCTGTCAAAGCTGTCAGGTCGCTACGAAAATAGGAACGCGAAGTATGCTGGCAGATGTGGAGTGCAACATTTGAGCGTAACATGCTGGAACCTTCACACCACACGAGAAAACCGTGAGCGCCCAGGTGCAGTGATGGCTGCACATTTCTGGGCAACCTCGGACGTCGGCTTGGCTTGGATGTGCAAGCAATAATTTTGTAGACGACAGGATTCGAGCATCTTGGACTTCAATAAGCACGCTCAGGTTCGTCCAAAGATGGCTACATTCCTTCGAAAGGTGCAGCTGGAGCATTTCAAACTAATCAAGGTTGGAGGTCTCCGAGCTGAAGCCACGACAAAGAGGCAAAAGCACCGTCAATTCACTGAGCATGTCCAAGCTCCACATGTGCTGAAGCAAACTGTCAAGGAGCCATTCCAGAACCTGTCCACCAGGTGCCATAAGTAGCATCCTCGGTGCTGGGCAGCTGGAGTGCAAGTTCGCTGTTGATAGAAGCAGGTTTGTAAGAATGTCTCATGAAGTATGGGCATATAATGAGGTTCAGAACTCACTCCCCACAAGAACGAAGCGTGGCGTGGGTTGCTTAGACGTGGGGCCCCGGCTGAGGCTCAGGAAGGAGTTTGAGAACTTGGGACTCTCAATGCAGTCCCTACTCTCGCTCCGTTGTCACTGCTTGTGGTACGATCCAAACCGCATATTGCAGGCGGACGATCGCTTCAAGCATGAGCATCAAACGTTCAAAACGAAAGCGAGTCAGCATGCACAGGCCGCTAACAGAGTCAGGACCACGGGGTGTGCGGCAGCCAAGCCCTGCGCAGCAAGCCGTTCTTCAAGTCATGATCAATGTCGCCTTTTGCAGCACCGCGTCTCAAAGCCTCTGCGATCGACTTCCGGCGATTGTGCTTCTCTGAGCGTGTGCCTCTTAGTGCTCTTTGCGTACTGGATGGGTTCGCCCCAGGAAAAAACGTTTTTGCCAGAAGATCCACGAGTTTGTGGCATTATTGCATTATGCTCTACCTCCCGGGTGGCTGTCGGAATGGGAATGGCAGGGAGCCTTGAAGCACCGGCAGCTGATTGTGGCTCTTTGGCGTGACTGCCGCACGCCATTCCAGCTGGCTTGGCATCAAGGCCAGCATGCTGGGCAGTGCAGTCACGGTGAAGAATTCGACCATGTTCTCTGGCACGCCATTCGCCTCCACCCGCCACCCGCCTCCTCAAAGCTAAAGCCGAAGAGTCGATGGAAACCTCGTCTCTACATCGTTGGCTCCATCCTTTGATGGCATCGGCCAGGATTGTCACCGGCATCTGCATTCCAGACTTTGAGACGGCAAGGCTCAGCACGCGGGGCTTGTGAGGCCACCGTTGGAATCTTCGGACCTGCTCCTCCAGTAACGCATCAGCCAGACGCTCGTGCTTGCTACCATAGGCGCTCCTCCCGGCACAGCAGATGAAATTTGGATCACATTATTGCCCTGGAAAGGTCCGCTGACCTGCAGCTTTGCCTACTTCAGCGCTGATTGCGCGGACTGCGGAAAATAGCGGCAGTCGTACGAGTAGCGCGACGAGGCTCAATGGCTTCGCAAGGCACTGGAGTGCAAGTGGCAAAGACCTACACTACACGCGCACACCAGACGCACAGCACAAGAGGTGTCTTAATTGGCGCATGCCGGACGGCTGGATTGCCTTCCACAGCTGCTGAGGTCACCCTGGTAACAAACACGGAAGGTCAGATGCTAACAAAATCAATCACCGGCGATGACCCAATCTGAAATTTCGGACAGGATCGAGCCCACAACGAGAAGCGCAACGACTTACAAGTGACCTTCCTTGCCGCTTTGGCGCCAGGCAAGAGCTGCCCCGACTGCGCCGACCACGACATCGGCACTCCGGAAGAGTGCAGCCTGTACTGCACAGGATGCCCGAGACTCTGCGGAACTCCAAGGAAAACCTCACCCCTTCTCACGGGAACCCCCCATCGACAAGAGTCCTGTGAAGCATTAGAACTGCAGCCAGAAATCTCTTTGTCTAGGTCGGGGATTGGCAAGGACTGGCCTGCTGCAGCAAGGGTCGTTGTTCCAGGTCGTCCAGAACTCGCCATGCCTGTCCAATCAGAGGAAACTGAAAACGTCAGGTCAAAAGCTCTCATCTTCAGTGCATAAACTTACACCAGGCCGCTATTTCGTCCGAAACCGCCAGTGGGTCCAGAGCCTTTGCTGTGAGCTTCCTGGGCAGGATCAACGAACAGAATCAGGGCTTCTTCTGGTGGGCAATGGAATTTCACCTTCAGCTTGAAATGCCTCGAGACTTAAGACGTCTGAAGCTGTAGTTTGCCTTTGGCCTCAGCTACATGTCAGCACCTGACCGACATGGCTATCTGGTACACTCAACCTGAAATCAGGGCGAGCATCGGCAGATCAAGAAAAGACCGCCCATGGGCAAAAGCGCGCTGGATCACGATGACGGCAACGTGGCCTGCAGAAGTCAGACTCTGCTTCACTCTCCAGTGGGCCGACAGAACATGTGGCAATGTCGACACCTCGCTTGGCACCCCGAGGTAAAGAAAGGAACCCTAGAAGACTCTCGAAGTGCTCCCAAGCTGCCGCCGGCTTCGGGTTTGGAGCCCAGGGCCCCAGGAAGGAGAGGGCGGTGCCAGAAGGCATGTGCCAATCCATCCTGAAACTGCGGCATTCGTGTGATGCATGCAGGGCAGAGAGGACGGTCGAACCGCTTTCGAGAGGCCATTTCGTAGCCGTGATGGCGGCTCAAGGCCTCCTTGAATGATGTGACCTGCGCCACATGTAGGAAGCCTTGACTGAATCTTGACTGTTTGGATTTGCTGTAGCACAAGATGACCTCCTCGCGACCGACGGCGGTGCTGTGGCGGAGCTCGCGATCGGCCCGCATCTCTGCATGGCCTGAGCTGGGGCTTCAGCGGCCCCAGTCCGTCCCACGGAGACTTGGAGTCACTTTCAAGCTTTCAGATATTCCCAACCAAACTTGCCAGGGTTTAGCGGTCCATGGGAGGCTATGGTCTACGCAAGGGACGAGTATCCTAGGATCTTTTACAGCTTTAAGGTTTTATGGGGCTTTTTGCTTCAGGATTGTCAGGCTTGCGCGGTTTGGGGTTTCACAGGGTTGTGCAGGCTTCATAATGTCATAATGGCTTCGTCGGGCTTTAGGGCTTTAGGGCTTCTGGGGTAGTGGTTCCATTGGGGTTCTACAAAGGTTCCACAAGTTTTCGACGCAAGATTTCTACACGGTTTCATTAGGTTTTCATGGGGCTTCGAGGGTTTATTGCGTCAGGGTCGTTGGGCTGTAGGGTTCTATTTATTCTAGTGCCTTAATTACAGACAGATGGAGAGGGTCACATCGTTTGGGGGTAACGAGTAACGAAGGAACCTGCCCGAACAATAGTAGCGTGTTAAGGCCCAGTATCCATGATCTATAATGTCTTGCGTTGCATGTGAAAGAAAAATAAATCCGCATGCATGCATTGAAGCGCTCAGTCGACAAGTCGCCCCAGAGCAACCGGCCAAAGCAGCGCTGCCGCATGGTGTGAAGCATCACCTGTCTGATGGTCCGCGGAATCGGCTTGAATATAGCATCCAATTCACTTCGGAGTCCACATAATGATCACTGAATTTCAGCGTGCGTGAGCTGGGCTACCCTCTCTGGGTTTGGCCGAGATTCGGGAGGGGCCGTTGTGAGGAGCCGCAGAAAGGGCGCATGCCTTCTGGCACAGAAGAATCCGAGATTTCGTATCCAAGCACGCCGTCGCTGACCGTCGATCTGAATAACTGACCGTATAAGGAACACTATACTGACTACTCTTTCCACCGCAAGTAGTCCAGGAGATCCATGCTGCGCGCCTGATGACCCAAAGCTCAAACCGTTTCTGCAAGTCCTGCTGCTCATGGTCGTTGTCCACCTGTTGGATGCCAACTGCCGTACATGCGCTGTCAACGCTCGAGCACTCTGCGACTCTGCGGCCAATGCTACACTGGCTGCTACATATGAGCACATGCCCAAGTTGCAAACGAGCGGCAAGTCCCTTTCGGACACTAAAGACATGCGCAACTTGCTGCCACCCAGACCTTTAGCCTCGTGCCTCGTAGGTATCTGCGTGCTGCGTTTACAAACTAACCTTGCTGGAGTCCGATTGTCTCGTTTAAGCGCAGTACAGTGATGTACAGTACAAAGCCGTCTGCCTTGGGCATCTCAGAAGCGGTCTCGACGTCCGTGTCTTCGCCTGAGTGCATAGCAGCCAGCACAAGACATGCCATCGATTGTTTCAGTCCTGTGCCGTCCACAAGGTCCACAATGCGGCACAACAAGATATGTTCTTTCCGTTGTGCATGGAGAGAGTTACAGATACTAATTGCGAAGGCTGCAAATGATAACTGCTCTGGTCTGCTGGAAAGGAGATTGCTTGAGGCAGCGGGTTGGCTGGGTGCAGCAGGCTTGCGGAAGAGGTATGCATCGAAAAGGAGGATCAGGAGGACGTCTCGCTGTGTCTTGTCACCGAGGCTTTCGTGAGCGCGCGGTCCGTTGAGCCTTGCGGAAGGAGACAAAACAACCAAGTAAGCAGCGGCCTGGTGCAATGTTTTCGGTCGGGACGTGCTGTTTTTTGTCGAAAGGCTTGTTTGGTTGATTCCAGGGAGCGTTGGACACTTGAAACTGGGCAGGCAGAGGCCTGGCAGCCGCTGGCACAATCCAGTGGAGGTTGTGCCAAATGTTGTCTCCGTTCTCGGGGAGGTTTAAGACCTCGGACAGCAGCGGAGTGAGTACACGCGCGGTCTCAACGGCACAGTGAAGAGTCTTGTGGGGCTGTAGCCAGGGACGAGAATTAGATGCTCAAGAGACAGACAGGGATCGACAGGGCTGGCAACAACGAATCCCTTGTCCACCAGGTCAGGTGACGTCAAATTGACTGCTTGTAGGTAGAATGCCTTGCACGTCACAGCACCTCATGCATCTGCTGAGGCAGCTACAAGTACTGCGTGGTGTTCTGAGGAATAGTCACAAATCCAACCGCATCATATCACCATCACACGACATACCAACATGTGGAGGCGGCCGGGTTCCGGGATCGCTCCTCGTCATCCTCTCCACCAGTCCAGCTCGAAGGTTAATCCAAGTGCAGCTCCGTGGCGAAGCCGATGCTTTGCCGTGCCAGGGCCGCCTCTTCCGCTGCGCTTGGCCAAAAGTCGCCTGAACGGGGAAGATCCGCACAGCCGAAGTAGACTGTGTGTTTGCACATGCGACCGAAGCCTAGTGGGAAGGTAGGCTCATGCGTCCCCTGCAGTCAGGTCACTGAGATCTTCACTCACAGCAAGATGAAACCTGGCAATCTCGTGCAGGCCACTGCGATTATGTTCTCTCTCCATGCTTCCCGCCTGTTGCGCCCCGTCTCTGAACATGTCTGCAGCTGTTCGGGGAGAGGAACCTCGCCATCGGAAGGCTTGCCTTAGTCAACCACTTGACAGCCCGAATAGGTTGCTTCGAAACCTGCAGGCTTGGTGAAGAGTGTAGAGTCGTAGACCTGAACCAGAGCAAGGCACGGACAGTGACGACGCCCTTCACGATGCAGGCGTGATCGAACTGGGCTGTGCACTGCACCTGCAGGGCCGGGCCCAACTCCGCTGGCAGGCAGCATAGCTTGGGCAGCCGCAGCAGAAGGTGCCTGCCGTGGCTGTGCTTGTTGCTGCAGAGGTGACGGAGACCACCTCGACAAGGGAGGGTTGCAGGGCTCTTGTTTGGATCCTGCAGAAGCTCAGGAGCTGAAACCAACCTCTCGACAAGTAACTCTGAGCCAGGCACAGCAGCGACCGCAGTGCTGCGGCATCGAGCACGTCCGGGCAGCCTTCACTCTGCAGCCGTTGTCCGAAGCCTTGGCACTGGCGCACCATACACTTTTTGAGATATCGAGACATGCAAGTCATGCAAGACTCTGCTTACCGCGAAATGGTTCAGACCAGCCCGGGTAAAGGCCTGCACTGTTGCCGCTTAGGCCATCGGCTCTTGTATCACTTGCTGCAATGCTGCGTTCATCACCCGTGCTTCCAAATAGAGGTCGGCTAACGACATGTGATTATGATGCTCCCGGCACGGTGTAGTCTGCTGCCGCCGATGCGCTTTCCGACGAACAGAGACACGCCATGTCTTAGCGATGGCTGTCGCCAAGGTCATCGGATATGTTCAGCCTCGCAGCGGTCCATTGCCTGACAATTGACGTTCCCAGTGCGCCAGTGGACTGCCAGGCGCACGAAGTTGTACTCAATGTCTGCCTCAAAGGAGCACAAAGCCTGCTGTCTGCATTGTAACCGCTGGTATGCTACAAACTTCTCTCACTGTATGGAGGATGGTTTGTTCAGTTCCCTTCTGTTGGCAATTGTGCAGAAGGGGTGCAGATTCTCGTAATTGCCATCATTTCAGATTGATAGTATTGATACTATCACTGCTTGTATCAGCTGGATATCACGATTCCTGTGACACTCACACAATCCCGGGAGCCGGGAGACTTGAACAAGCCCAACCCAAACCGACCACAAAGAAGGGAGGACTGCACGCAAAATCCTTCGGCTGGTGCCTCGATCCGCAGTGGTTAGTGAAGGTATAAGCCCAGTCGCATCGTTGGACCGACACTAAACTCCAGCAACACTAGTACAGGCGGCTTGGCTGACGGGCCTTACTGAACGGCCACCGCGTGTCTTCCAGGCAGGTGTCGCTCAAGGTCAGAAGCTTCACCTGACAAATTACGGACACACCTCAACTATGAGTGGCAAACTTTGCAAAGCGAGAAAAGTTGAATCACCTCCTCGTCGTGGAGCTGGCAAAAGCATCTGGACTACTGACCGTATTGAGGCCGCAGAACGGTACACAGACTTGGCAACTGCGAATATTTTGGACCTATGAAGTGAATACGACCTCCGACGGACCAACAAGTGCTTGCAGCAATTGCTTCGTGCTGTGCGGACCGATACGGGCCCTGAATATCTCGGATCTATGCCAGTCATGAACTCCGGTGCTCAACGCTCCCCAAACTGCAGTTCAAACGGCCATCATCTCAGCGGTGTTGAGGCTGCCGACGACCTCTCGCAGTTCTTTAGGGCCAGCTTCAGCGCGACAGCACAACAGAGCGCCACGTATATGGGCTACTTTGGTCGGCTATCCCATGATCAACTCGGGCCGTGTAGCACCAATCTGCGAAGGTGAGTATTTGCCCTAGGATGCCAGAAATTGCGGAGCAGTCTGAAGTCATTGGCCTTGCCAGCCAACAGCCATCTTTGAAGGCAGATGATGTTCTCCATCAGCGCACCTTCACACAGATTACACAGGAATGAACGCAGGATCCTACTCAGGTCGCTTGGAACCGGTCGGGAGCGTGCCTGGCAAGCAAGCCGAGAACTTGGCATAGCTAGAGAAGATCCGCTGGAAGTCCTTTTCCAACCATTCCTCGCAGTATGAAGCGGCCTCGCCCAGGGCCATGGCAACTCAGATCGACGCGAGAAGCTGGCTATCTCAGCAGAATCAGAACACTGAAGCTGATAAATAGCGGTTATGCCCAGTCAGCAGCCCCTGGCCCGGCCAGACTCTGGAGCTCGACGCGTGGGCCACAAAACCCCGACAGTGCCTCGATGATCCGCCGCGCCTCGCTCGAGGGCCGCAACATCCGCTCATGCAGATCCCCACGGCCTGGGAAGACTGCAGGTAGCTGCCATAGCCCCTTGCGCGTGCAGAGTGTGATGTCGACCCTGCCTATGTGCAAGGAGCCGTCGAAAAGGGCGTGTAACGTGGTGTAGTAGTCGTAAGCTTCTACACAAGCACCTTGGTTCAACATGGACTTCAGTGTCCTGTTTAGCACTACATCGACTAGCCTCCACATGCTGCCTTGACAGAATGTCTATGTCAGTTTTGGCACAGTAATCCCTGGTTGGCCAAATCACCTTGGTGCATGTCTGGGTGCTCCTATGGGCCTATGCAGAGGGCAGATGCAGGGTCGAATGCTCAGCTGCCCTGACATACAGAGCAGTGGTTTCCTAACTTCCGATGTTTACTAATAAAGTGTGGCCAAATTCGAAAATTCAAGACCGTCTCGCAGCAACTCCAATCGGGAAGCGGAGACATAAAGCTCAGTGGCTAAGTGGCTCTCCAGAGGGCCCCGAAGAGAAACCACACTCGCTGCTCCTGTTCCTGTTGCAGCAATGAGTGTACGTCTTCATTTTTGAAGCACAGGGTCGGACCATCGGCATTTTGCAGCTCGACACTACGGAATGAATCGGTGTGCTGCACAGGCTTCGTCCAATTTAAGGCTGACCGGTTGCAGAGCAGCGAATAACACAACACTTTCATCCACGTATGGCGAGTCAATCAACAGCCAAACAACCCTTGCAGGCGGTCGCGATGAAAGACACGACAGTAGCATTGATCCGACACGGGAAAGCCTTCTCGAAGACTACGATACACCACGTGGAGAGCCTGCAAAAGCCTTTTGAAGTCCACCCAGAAGCCCCTCCTCGATCGGCCATCCGCGGAAGACCTCTTGACTGGTGACAGTTCCCAGGTTCTTGTAGGCGTCAACAATGCCATACCTTAGATTTTCCAAGTTGTCGAGTTGGGTGCGCAGTAGTTGCAGCTCGGCAGACTTAGACCCAACCTAGCCGCACCACCACAAGCAGTAGTAGCAACTGGTAAAGTAGAAGGTACAGCAGGAGAGATGGATGCAACCTGATCTTGCCACACTTTTGCCAAGCTGCTTCAGCAACAAATAGTAAATAAAGACGTCAAACCTGGGCTGTCTGGTGATCTGCTCGCGATCCCACTACATCTTTGGATCATTGTGGGGCATCGTGTCACCTGCCTTCGCACCTACCTTTAGCACAGCGTGGCTCATAACTCAAGGGGCATGAACGGCGTGTTCAGCTGGCAGTGCCGGACCAGCTCCGCAGTATTGCAAATCTGTCGGAGATGCTGAAGCAGACCTCCACTCCAGTCCCTCAAAAGAGTACAATTTATGAATCATATTGGGGAAAAATAGTTGTCCCCAATTTGATTTAAAGTACAGAAGATGTTTCGATGGCCTTCGAGCTTTGCGAGGGTCGCTTGCAGCACCGCTTGGGGGCAGGAGACCACGTGGAGCGCGTAGTTCTGATAGATTTCCCGCAGCCCTGGGACCTACCAGAGCGGATCTCCGAAACAAAACCCTCGTCGAGCTCCTGCGAACCTCCAGCACTCGCTGTGCTTCAATGTCCCACCTCCACGGGCGACGGAAGCTTGGGAGACTGGATTTGTAGTGCTTTTGTCTAGGGGGTCATGTGGTTTGATAGGGGTAAGTCTTGCTTTGCTTCCACAGAAGCGGTTGTCCTAGGACTGCAATAGTGGTCCATCGGAATCGGCAGCACCAACCAAGTCAGTCAATTGCCAGCTTTGTAAAGTCGAACCTGGCTTCTTCCAGCGCTGCGGTCACCTCTGCGTGCGCAGCACGCAGCTCATCCTTGTGCTGTGTTCAAGTTTTCTGCCCGTCCTACCGACTTGCGACGTCAAAGCCGGGAAATCAAGGAAACTTGCATACCCAATGCGTGACCAGTGTCTGAGCCGATAGAGCCGTCCGACCAGCAAACCTGGCCTTGGACTGTGAATGCGGTTTCTCGCGGTCAATTTTGCAGACTTAAGGATTTAAGCGCTGTTTCTCGTGATGGTTGTTCCACATGCAGCTCAGCAACCGTGCGTGCCGACTGCAATATGCTCCAGCAAGCTAGATTCCAGTGTCGATGCCAAGTGAGGCAGGTTCTCATTGAAGAGCACCTGCCCCCGACCAGTAGTGTTTTGGAAGCTCGGCGCTAAGGGAAGATGCAGCGCTGCTCAACTTTGTCCAGCAATCAACAACATCTCACAAACCCGGGCACTGCCGTGCCCTCCAGTGTCTCGGAAAGCCCGGCTGCTTGCATGGCATGCGCATCAGAGCAGGATAGAGCAGTCCGTTGAACGTGCACATGCCACTGGCTGTGTCTGTCTGCCTGGTAATCGCGGGCCAGCTGTTCGGAGGAGAGCTGTCAAACGGGTCGCATGTCTCGCATGTCTGCTGCTTGTGATGGCTGTTTCTGCTTGAGCCCCCCACAATGTTCTTTGCGTCTAACTCCGGCTCTCTCTCTCTCTCTCTCTCTCTCTCTCTCTCTCTCTCTCCTCTCGAACCTGCAAAGCCGACAGCTGGGACTTGACTCTGATCATATGGGCTCAAAGTCGCGTCTGCCACAGAATGAAACCACGACGACCCCTTGCACGATGCTCTCAGCCACTGATTTTGGCACGGTCGCTTTGAACCGCAGACACTTATGAAACAACTCCCTTTGGAGGTAACTCGAGGTCTAACGTGCCACACGTCTAGTTGATGTCAATGCTGGGGCTAAGCCACCCCAGCCGTGACAACACATTCCTCTCGGCTAAGTCTAACAGTCTAACAGTAGAACTCCATGTGCCTAACGCACCAAAGACGTCAACAAATAAAAGCTGAACAAACTCTCCCTGCTTTCTGCCTCATCCAAGCCTCCAGGATCTGCCTGCGGAATCACTTTGGGACCATTGAACACATTGCCAACTTCCTCAAACAAGAGAATCACTGTATACACTTCCGTTCCACTGAACTGAAAGTAGCCTGACAGCCTATACAGTAGCTCAAGCCTTTGCAAATCTTTGCAGCCCCTCCGTTTGAACTGAAGGTCTTGACACTATACTAACTAATGGTACAAACTACATCGCACTGGCCACTGGTTTCTTAGGAGTACATCGATTGCAAGATCTGGACGCTGGCACTTGGACTTGAGCTCCTGGTTCATGATGCTTCTCTAGTGTCCAGATCTACAGCATCGATAAAATATGTCCGCCTCTCCTCCACAGGCCTCGACACGGGAGGACAGGACTCAACCTCCTTGGGTGACGGTGGCAGTGGTGGCTGTGTCGTCCTGGTAGCAAACAGTCCGGGCTCTCAGATGCTACGGACGCCACGGTGGTGATGGGCCGGGTCAGTGCATACCCTCGCGGCTTGCTCTGATGTCAGCAGTCCTCTGTAGGCGGCGGAATAAACCCAAGTTTCCTCGGGCCCGGCCCAAGGCACAGAGCTTCGTGACCAACCAAGCCCTGCTAACCCTGATGATCAGACCTAACAACATGCTGCCAAGGGGATCATGCCATCAGCCCTGTCACCTGCATATGATCCCACTCCACGGCGCAGCAGAATGCAGCCAGGCCGCGTTTCCAAGCGAGTGAACTGCTGTTGCATCCTGTCAGCGTGTATTTCGAAAAGCCAGAAATATTGCTTATCTCAGCAGTCTCAACAACAACGACCAACAAGAACAAAGTATGGCTCGCTGTGCATTCGCTTGGATGTTACTTCACCCCTGTCTCCGTAAGAGCACACCCTGTCCAAGACTCAGCACGTATATACGTACTTATACATGTGCATATACATATACATATGTATATGTATATGAATATGCAAAAGAATGTTTTCTATACATATATGTATATACAGACATGGATATAGATGTCTACATGTATAGGAATAGATGGAACTGCATAAACAAAATGCACATCTATCTGTGTTTATATATTATATATATATATATATATGGTCAGGGGTCTGGCGTTCCCAGCCCCCCCCCCCCCCCCATGGTATGGTCTGCCAGGGGTGGGGGGGGGGGGGCCTGGCGTGTGCGGAAAGGGGTTGGGGGCCGTTGGAGCTGCCACTGGATGGTGGGGTGGCGCTGGCGGCCATGGCTCACGCGCAAGCCCTTCGCAAGCAAGCCGCAAGCCCTATGACACAACGCGTGCCCCTGTTTTGAGCAACCTTAACTTGTACTGAAAGCGCTACACCCAACCCTAAACCCCACCTAACTGCAGGCTCTAAGCCTAAAGCAGAGCATACACCGCAAATCCTCCCTAAGCCCTTGTCGACTCGAAGTTTTATGCCTTGTAGCCGTAAGCCCAAACTCAAAAGCTTAAGCTAAACCCTAAACCCCAAAACCCCACAACCACCCCACAGGGAGAGGAATCCCACACCCCACACCACAGGGGAGGGGGGTTGCCCCACCCTATATCCGGACCATTGACCTTTGGGGGGGGAGGGGCGGGGGGGGCTGCGGAGCGCGTGACCGTATATAGATACGTGTGTGCCTTCGCTTGACTGCGTGAATCTTCATGGTTCCCTTAGTTCCCAATCTGTCTGACAAGAGCCTGCATTTGTGTGGATGTTGACCCATTTCATCTAAAACGGGCAGAAGATCTTCAGCCAAGCTCACTCGGTGTTTTTTCGACCGGCCGTAGTACCGATATTTAGTTGCTTTCCAGGGCTTTGTGTCCAATTCTCCTCTTCGGGTTTCCGATGAGGAAGGATTGATCTCTTATTGGACTTAACAAATCCACACCCGCTAAGTACTAAGGCAGCTTGAGTAGATGTGTGCCTACGACCATGTAGCATCTATGCACGCAGCTTTCGATGACTTGTTCTGCCTATATGTAGCATTACTGATATACAACACAATCCGTAATGTGTACATAAGTACAATATCAAACATAGGCCTGTGCATATATGTGCATGTGTGTATATGCTGTGTATACATCCAACTTACATACATACATTACCGTTGTTGCAGCTGCGACATGTGCAGATGGTCGGAGCGCTATACTGATAAATGATAAACAAGTAATTACTAGTAGTGTTAGTCACCATGTATCACAATGATGCAGGATCAGCGGTCGTGTGCGCGGCAGCCTCTGCAATGCCATGAAAGGGCCACTCAAATGGTAGCGCGCCTCAGTGCCAGACATCGGACGCTGTGGATCGGTCGCTTTTCCGAAACTTCGCGTACCATGCAAAAGCCCAAAACGCCCAAGCAGGGCGCATTGATGCAACATTGAAACAGCGCCTTCGTCAACCCAGAACCCTAAGCCCGCTTCGACCTGGACCCCTGAGGCCGCCAGCATGTTCCACCAGCTCAATGAGAACCACAACAATCACAGAGCCCGCGAAGGCCAAGATGTAGACGTACGAGGCAATCTGATTCAGGACCTCGAAACGGTCCGAACCACGAAAAGGATTATAGGATGGCCAAGACACATTCAGCTGTTTAGGAGAGGCTGGCCTTTCTCGGGCTCTAACCCCTCAAAGCATGCTGCAGGCTCTCCGGGTCTCAAGGTCCGGGCAGGTTGAATCAGCCCAGCATTCCACATGATGGCGAAAAGGACCCCGTAGAAAATCAAGATCCCCTCGGTGCACATTGCAGGCGAGCACAGCAGTTAGCAATGTCTTCACAACCGTGGACAGCAGAGCACCCATCACAAGGCTTGATGATGACTTCTCGTCCCTGACGACACCGAGTCAGGATGTATGGAAGCCTGATCTAAATCGGATACTCGGAGACCAAGGTCGCCTCAGCCACAGGCACTCGCTTGAGGTCTGAGATCCTCGCACAGAGTGTCCTTCGAACCTCCAGGCTCAAGTACATCACCCGCGAGGGGAGGCTCCTCAAAAGAC